ATAATTGTCTGAATTGAATTTGCCCATTCCATCCATTTTAGTTCACTGATGCCCAGGATGTCAATGTTTATTCTTGCCATCTCCTGTTTGACCTCCTCCAGCTTCCCAAGGTTCATAGCTCTTACATTCCAGGTTCCTATGCAGTATTTTTCTTTGGGTCTACAGCTGAGTGTCCTTTCAGCTTTGGCCCAACCACTTCATTATCTCTGGAGTTACTTGTACTTGTCCTCCGCTCTTCCTCAGTAGCATGTTGGATGCCTCCTGATCTGAGGGGCTCATCTTCTAGTGTCATATCTTTTAGCCTTTTGTTTCTGATCATGGGGCATTCTTGGCAAAGATACTGGAGTGGCATTGCCAGTTCTTAGTCCAGGTGGATTGCGTTTAGTCAGAACTCTCCACTATGACCTGTTCATCTTGGGTTTCCCTGCACGGCATAGCCCATAGATTCTCTGAGTTACTCAAGCCCTTCACTACGACAAGGCAGCAATCCATAATAAGGATTGTCAGACTACACACTACGAATCCCCTTCTGTTTTCCACCAAGTGGATTCTCGCTGATATGGGCTCTGTAGGATTATTGCTCCAACTGAGCTGATTCAAAGGTTCTTATTCTTCAAAAGATAAAGATAGCAATGTAATGTGAAAAAGAGAAGCAGATGCCTGCTTTTATAAAACATACTATAAAGTTGCTTTAAACTGAGGACAGATTAGGAACATTTGCATTTAGTGAATGGATCCTGCTCCATTGTTCCTTGCAACTGCTGCAATTGCCAGCTGCAAGAGAAGATGGATGATCCTGCAGAAGTGGACTCTTGATCTCTGTGAAATGTTTGCCATAGGGAGGATTCTGTGCCTTGTCTTGTGAAACTAATGGCACGCTCCATGTCCCTAGGCTCCAATGTTTCTCACCATTTCAGCAAATGGAAAGATTTTTAGAACTAAAATCTCTCTGTCTCTGACTCTGACTATGCTTTCCACAAAAATTCAAGGCTTCTCCATTACGTAGAAGTCCTCTTAGTTCTTGATTAGTACTGTTTTCTGTGTTGATAATCTACTAAATTGTGGTATGGAATAAACATTCACCTAGAAATTGAAGGGCAGTGTATTTTCCATACTATGTGAGAGCATAAGCACAGTGAAAGCTTTATAACCTGTTTCAGCAGGCACCTTCTGCTCTCCCAAACCTCCATGTTCAGTGTGGCAGACCAAAAGCCTTGGATGATTTCTCCAAACCACCCACTGGAGCAAAAGGATTTGTTCTTGCTAGTAGATCTAAGTGAGGGATGAATAAAGTATTGAGTGGGATCCAAATCATAAATTTTAAAAAGAAGCCACTCTGTTCAAAAACCAAGCTAGCTTACTATTAAATCCAATTGAGAGAAGTCTGGTTTTCTTCCCTAACTAAATTCAGATAGCCTGCTGGATTCACACTGGTGAAAAGATTCTGTGTCACTCTCTGAATGCCACCAAAATTGCCAGGATAACATTCAAAACAATGTTACATTCACCTAATAGTTGGGCTCTAAATGGCCACGGGACAGACCCCAGTATAGTTATATGCAATCTTGAAAAAAAATGTGTGAAAGGATACAATAAAGATTATAACTGAACACAAGTCTAACTTCATATACATTTTAAGTATAATTATAGAGTCATATGTTCACAGTAATCTGCATGCAGATAACAATGACAACAACAATAATGAAGTCATGATCTTATGGGATTTCTGGATACAAACTTATAAATACTTTGAACATAACACACCCGACATAGTAGTAATAGAATAAAGAAGTGTCTGGATCACTGACATTGCAATTCCAGGGGATGCCAGAGTGGAAAAGAAAGAATTGGGAAAATGAGAAAATTCAGAGATCTGGCAATCAAAACTTTTTGCTTGTGGATGAAACATGCTTCATTGGTTCCCATAGTTATCTGGGAGCACTATCAAGAAATTGTGCATAGTATTAAAGGCAGTTGCAGATCTCAGAAGTAATTATACCAGATCTACAAAAACCAGTGATATTAAGAACAACATACATACTTTAACAAATACACATATTTCACATACTGTATACAGTATTTAGGTTAGGTTTTTGGTTAAACCTTGCATCTGTTAGATAATACTAGTCAGTGTTTATTTTTGAATTTTTTAAAATAAATTTGAACAACAACAACAACAACAACAACAACAACAACAACAACAACAACAACAACAACAGGAATAATAGGAATAATAATAATAGGAATAGGAATAGGAATAGCATACATATTACATTGTTACTTAACCAATACTTAGGTTTTTGGTTAAAACTTGTATCTGTTATAGAGAGCTGAGTGGTTTAGGTCTATGGCTGCATAGCCAGAAGCTGGGGGTTCTGTTCCCCACTGTGCCTCCTTGATGGGCTGGGCTCAGTGATTCACAGGGTCCCTTCCAGCTCTGCAGTTCTAAGATGATGATGGTGTAACACCAGTCAAAGACTGTGACTTGTATTTTCAAATAAACAACAACAACAACAACAATGTACAGTCAAATCATTTCCAAATGCAACCCTCATTGGGCTTTTTAGGCATAAAGTACCCAGAAGTGGTTTACTGGTCCCTTTTTCTGGTGGCACTCTTGAAAATGTGCTATTTTGAGCAGCTGTGTTGAATTCGCTAATGCAGTCTGTTGTGGGTTTGGGTACAGACAAAGTCCCAGTCCAGCACAAATGCCTGTCTTGGCTTCTCCTTAATCATAAAGTGATTTATTTCTGGTCGTAACAGGTACCTAGTTTTGCTAAGTTGTCAATTACATGTAGTTTACTAAACTGCACTTAATTTGAGCAGAGGTTGAAATTTGGTATAGAAAGGACATTATCTGCTAGTAGACATGAGCAAGGACAGCCAGAGGCAGAATGGCAAATTCTCACATAATTCCTTTTCTCCTGGGAAATTCAGTGTACGCCGCATCGAAAGCCAGACATTTTATTTTGGTAGCAGAGGCAGAAAATCCCACATACATCTCTTGCCATCCCTGATAGTTTTAAAAATGTTAACCCCTTGCTGGCCTTTCATGACAATCCACCTTCTGCTCCCATCATTCCTACTTATAGTAAGGACTGATTTCGTGAAGAGCTAACTGTCTATTTTGAAGAAATTCACACAGTGTGTCTCTTGAAGCCTGTGAGCTGAATTAAGGGCTTTTTGCTGTTGTTTGTTCCAAATTCCCTTTAGCTGTCATAATTAATAGTTCTTGATAAATCTGTTCTGCATGAATTTTCCTGATATAAGAACGTCAGGCCGTGCGTATAGCCCATGTCAATGCGTGCTTTTTTTCTCTCCTTCTTTCAAAATCGGCAGGCGCTGGTGACCTGACTGGGGATCCCCTTGGGTACGTGACTGGAGTGCTCGCTGTATTGGTGCATGCAGCATATTTGGTGCTCATTCAGAAGACGAGTGCCGACAGTGACTATGGGCCCCTGACAGCCCAGTATGTCATTGCTGTCTCAGCCACCCCGTTTCTCATTGTCTTTGCCTTTGCCAGCATGGATGCCATCAATGTCTGGTCCTTCCCTGGGTGGAAAGATCCTGTTATGACATGCATCTTTATTGCATGTGTCTTCATTGGTTGTGCCATGAATTTTACTACTCTTCACTGCACTTACATCAACTCAGCTGTAACCACCAGTTTTGTTGGGGTCGTGAAAAGCATTGCTACCATCACTGTCGGGATGGTGGCATTCAACGACGTTGAGCCCACAAAACTGTTTATAGCAGGTGTGGTTGTAAATACTGTGGGCTCTGTCATTTATTGTGTGGCCAAGTATATCGAAACAAGAAAACAAAGTAATTATGAAGACCTGGAAAAGGAAATTAGAGAGGAGGAGAAGAAAGAATGTGAGGAAAATCAGCCGCCCTTTCTAATGGAGGAGATACCCACGGAGCCTGGGGATACAACAACAGAAGAGCCATGGAATGAAAGGAATCAGCAAACTGTGGAGGAAAAGGACAACACTGTGGGGGATTTAAATGCATCTGCTGTCCCTGATGATGGCAGCTCTGAAGGACTTAACAAAAGCTCTTTAAAGGATGCTTATCTTGGAATATGGAGATTGGTTAGGGGGGCAAAGTACATGAAGAAAGATTATTTAGTAGAGAATGAGGAACTACCAAGTCCTTGAAGAATCATTGCTTAGCAAATCATAGTCAAGGATATATGTAATGTATTCTTTATGGTGGGAGTACAGATGGTTTCACAGACACATCTCAATTGTTTATTAGAAAGATTTTACCTCATAACAAAGCAGAAGCATGATGTTCATGCTTAGGTTTAGTGAAATTCCATTTTTCAGTGGGTTATTTCAATTTTCCACCCAAATCAGGCCTAGACCAGAAAATAGACACCCTCAACATTCGAAGGCAAAGTTTTGTATTCAGAGATGTCAGCTGGATGACACTCTCGGTGTGTTCTGCAGTAAGCACCCTTTGAAGGAGTAGTGGGATTGTTCATATTTGTTAAGAGCATGATCCACAGAAGCAAATGCTAAAAATATTTGTTCTTCAGCTAATTCAAAGGGAAGTATCACTACATTCCCTGTGATTGGTTAGGTGGCAAGGAAGTGGAAGAGATGTATGTGATCTCTTTCACGGCTCCTACATATAATTTTTTGAATTCTTGCGCACCACAGTGTCCCACCTGCTAAGAAGGCTGAAAGATTTTACTTTGTTTTTGCCTCTGCCATGTTTGTTGACAAGGTGAGAGAGGTGTGGGAGGGGGAATGAGCTGTTTAGACTCCAACCTGCCTCAGAATTTTCTCAGCTAGTTTATTTTTATTTAGTATTTATGGTAACAGATGTATACACACACATGTGCCAAGAATCCTGTGTTTTCTGTACAACATGGAAGTCAAGTGCTGTTATTTTAGAAAACATATTTTTTAAAATATAGAATATGTGCTTTAAATTATCATAAGAATACAAGAACTTAAGAAGAACCTTGCAGGATCAGGCTTAACGACAATCTAATTCAACAAACTGCTTCCTACACTGGCTACCCTGATGACTCAAGGAACCTTACAAGCAGTCCCAGCTTCTGGTAGTCAGAGGCAAATGACTTTTGAATACGGAGGTTCCATCAGAGCCTGAAAAAGTTACTTTTCTGTATTCTCTTTCTCTCAGAATTTCCCAGCCAGTATGAACAGTGGCTATGCTACTGGAAGGTTCTGAGAGCTGTACTCATAAAAGGTATCTTTTCCAAGTTCAGGATGCTACGTAGCTGTTAAAACATCTTCCAGGAATATTGATGTGTTTCATTTATTTAGCCAAAGAGAGTAACTGTGAGAACATAGCAGTGGTTAAAGGCAAGTACATTAAAACAAAACAATATAAGAGAGTCAATACCCAACAGCCCACATGCTTTCATATGCTAAAGGGCTGCTGAATTAAAATATCTTTGCCTCCCAAGGGAAGGACAGCAGAAAGGTAACAAACCTAGCTTCGCTTGGTGAGGAGTTCCAGCTGCCTGCAAGCAGCCATTGAAAAGGCTTTTTCTCACATCTGCAGCAACCTCACTAATGCTGGCAGGACTATGAAAAGGGCCTTCCCCAAAGATCTTAAAACCTTGGCAGTAGGTCTATTCAGGCATTATACATTTGTCAGGTCATGTGCACTTACTGCAGATAGAGGGGAGTCCTATTGCCCCACTTCCTGCATTTCTCATTTACTTTCTTTAACATGGGGAGTGATGAAGCAGGGATTCTCTTCTACTGTACCCATGGGCGCTCAGCCGATCAGTTGGGAATCTGATTTTCCAGGGTCCTGACTCAAATGGAAACTGTCCATAGATAGTGAAGCTCACCCCTTTCATGACTCATTGCCCTCCATGTGTTAGGGATCAATGAAGCTGGAAACTGAGGTGGGTAGGGTCAAGTGCTCTTGCTACCTGCAGTGAGTATACACAGATTCATGGCACCTGATGTCCAAAGATATCTCGACTATCAACCACATATACTTGGTCAATAAATTCTACACACTGTATGAAGTACATTTACCTTACCTCAGAAACGTGCTCACCATTTTGTAATGTTTATAATCTAGTACCTACCAGCTATTTTTGACTACAGTTCCCACATCATGCTGACTGGGAGTTATATTTTAAACCTCTGGAGGAAACTGTGTCTAGGAAGGCTGTGTTACAAGATGGCAGTATTTTAAACTAAGGGGTGTTCATAGAAAGTAGTTGCCTGCCAGTGTGGATGCAGAAAAACTTCTGCATGCAACTGAAACCTTGCAATAAGAGGAAAGGGCCAAAACCATATACTGTATGGGCCTCACAGAAAGTAGCAGAAATGCTGTGTTATTTCTTATATAGAACACCTCATGCATTTACCTTTCCTATTCTTCCATTGCTTGATTTTCCACATCACATCCCCAAATCCGCAGCCCATTGCTATTTACTTGCAGCCTTTCTGTCCCTTCTTCCTCATGTAGGATGCATTGGGTAGGATGTGTTCATTGCCCGAGAAGATTACCTTATGCGGGGACTGATTTAAGCCAGTCCCTGCTGTAAACACTGAGTAGTAAGGTCATAAGTGGCTCATTATTTTAGCACCTGTAAAGTCTGGTATGAGTCTTCTCTCCTTACTCAGACTCTGAACTGGCTACCATGAAGCAGAGTTAGGAGGTTGAAACATACACACAAAAAATGATAGTGGGCTCCTGCAGGGCATGAAAAAAAAATCCCTTTGTTTTGGACTACATCTCTCAGACTCACCAAGCCAGGATAATCTGGGAATTGTGGTTCAACACCCCTCATTGTTCCAGTTATGCTTTCACTGCTTGAATGACATCAAACTGAACAGGGAAAAGAAAGGAAATTAAAAGTAGATTAAGTTTATTTATTTACTTCTCAAATGTGTTTCAAACTCTTGGTTGTCCTTAGTCACACTCCTGTGCAGCTGTTGTCCCTAGGTGCATTTCCAGACAAAAATTCTGTATCACAATTACCCTGCCTCATTCACAGAATTGTGTGAGTGTGTATCCAGAAATACTAATCATCTTGATTCCCTCTATTGTTTTCCTACATATGCTGCAGTAGTGTAAAATAACCTGGTGAAAAATGTTATGCAAAAGTGCTTCTAAGGAAAAGCAACTGTTCAAAATATGTTGGGCTTAAATCAATAGCTCCCACTGCTGGTGCCCTGGGTGTGGGTGGGTCTCTCCCTGCCTTCCTCTGTGATAGATGCCTTCCTGCTTTTCTTTCACACACCTAACCAACACATAGAACAAGTTTTCCATGTTTCCACAGTAGCTCCACAAATTGGTTTTACCCTAAAACTTGCTACAGCTCTATTCAGCATTATTTTTTGTGGTGGGGGGGCACAAGAGTTGGCTGGCCCACTTTCTCCTTCCAGCAGTTGTTTGTCCGGATGAGAAGCACTACGCACCTGTGTATGGCTCTCCTTCCTACACGGCGATTAAAGATTCTGAGATCATGTTTAATTTCTGCTTCTAGCATTCCTGGCAGCAGCTATCATGAGCCAAACTATATGTTACAAATAACCCGTTGGGGCAGTGCAAGCTGTCGCACTGCCTGAGGTAAAAGGAAGCACAGTGCGGCTGGCCATACTGTTGCCTCTCCCTCATGATGTGCAGCAACATTTATGCTGCCGTGCCAGTGAGGTGGAGGCCTACTGGATAGGCACCACAGAAGGAAGTGGCAGTGGTGGTAGACACAACGTGAGCTGCTGCAGCAGCAATAAAAGGGTATCAGGTCAGAGAAAGAGGAGGAGAGGAGCCATAGAGGCAGAGGGGGGGTGGCACCCCTTCACTGTGTCAGGCAAAGATAACAGGAAGAAAGAGGAAGAGGGGGGAAAAAACAGCCACTCTACTTGCACTCGTGCCTAGCTGATTGAAGGGTACTGGGGAAGACATGGCTAAAAAGAGGACTATGCATGCGTGATTTCTCTCTCTCTCTCTTCCCCCCCCCAACCCGCTCTCTTAACCATCCCTTCCTCAACATGTTGGTTCAAAGATTATGAGAGCCAAGAATTATTCACATGTCTCTCTATCTTCCTGAAGCAGCGAAGTGAAAGCTAGCTTCACTGCCTCCCGTGCTTCAATCACTTCATTCTGCCTAGTGGCTGGCCCACCTGGCCTTGTAATTCACCATTAGGTCTGAAATCATGCTAATGTGCAAAAGATATAATTTATGGCCGAGAAATTAGATTTATAACGAAGGGATTTGCTTATGACATGCAGATGAATCACAAAATAAAGTCAGCTAAATTGCAGGTTAGCAGATTAGATGGGGCAAAATGTTGCTGTGATTATCATTCCCAAAGGAGTGTTGTAGTGCAGTGGTTAAACTGCAGTACTGCCATGAAGACTCTCTCCACAAACTGAATTTGATCCTGGTCTCAGGTAGGCCTGAGATTGGCTCAACCTTCCATCCTTCCTTGGTCAGTAACTTGAGTATCCAACTCACTGGGGGGGGGGGCAATGTATAGCCTGCATAATTATATTGGAGAGTGCTTTAAGCACTGTGGGGTGGTATATAAGCAGCATGGATTGCCTTGCTTTGCTATCATCACTTGAGGAATTCCATCTTCTTGGTTTTCTGTGATGTATAGTTTAGCCCTTAGTAATAGCAAGGATACATTGAGGGGTGGGGGTTTACAAATAAATTGCTTAGAGGGCCAGTTCAAGACATTTTACTATCCCAACTCTGCGCCCCTTAGTGACTGAATAATTTGTATAATGACACTTCGCATCAGTAAGGGTGGAGGAACACGACTGGCAAATAGCTTGCTCAGATAGAAGGATCTTAGTGTATTGATAGAGGAACAATGAAGCCCAATGAACTGAGTATGGAAACCTGGACTATTGTTTTCCAGAGATCTCTTCAGCAGCTATGAGTTCATTAGCAAGCAATGTTGCAGACAGCCAAGATAAGGTGGAAAGAATTAACTTGGGTTAGGAGATATTAACCACTGATATAACCCATCCCATAATTTATGCATTAATGGTCTGACTTGATACACTGAAGACTGATAAATCCACGTTGTCATTGTTTTATCATTACTTAAGTCATTTTAAAGTCCATGTATTATTTGTGTATTTATTTCACTGAACCGCTTATGCCAGAATATTAACATTAGGCATAGTTCAGTCAGTTTGGAAAGATCCCTGCTAGTTTGGAATCTGCCTAGGCCAATGCACACAACAGTAATTCTATGTCCCTTTTTATGGTGGGCTCACCCAGGCAGAGTGCTTGTTCTCCCCCACTTTGCACGAGTGCTGATTCTTCCTGGTGCTGAATCTTGCCAGGATTCCTATCCACATGTATTTCTTAAACCTCATCTCTCTCCTAAAATCAGCATATTTTAGAGAAATGACTCAAAAATATTTTAAAAAGCTTGAAGAAGAAATTTAAAAATTGTGTTGTGTTTTTTAAAAAAAGAACTATTTTTGATAGTGTCTGATGTGAGCCCTTCGTAGCAGAGCTCACTCTGCTGCTAATAAATCAGTTGTCCTTGAAACCAACTCTTTCAAAAATGTTGAGGAAACCGTTTAAAAAGTATTGTCTCTGCTGGTTTGTTCATCTGAACATTAGTGCCAACATTGGAAGCACCTGATGCAGATGCAATTGCTGCATGAGCTCCATTTATGATAGTACAGAGCAAAACAACAATAAAGAGGAGGTAGTTTTTTTAAAAAAAAGGTTAAAATACAAGATCCTTGTGATTCTTTGTCATCATTTGTACCCATTCATAAGACTTGAATTTTCTGAATGGAAGGGAAAAAATATTGGATATCCTCAAGGCACAGTCTGGTTGCATATAAGGGAATAAATGCTCCATCCAGATGAGCCCAGTGTTTAGCCTGCCATGGAACAGTATCCTATGCTAATCAGAGTTCTTTTGCTAAACCCCTGTTGCCTGGGTGGCACAGAAGAATGTGCTGTGGATTGCTAGCTGTCCGCCTATACATTATGGTGCCTTTTCCATGTGCTTTGCAGGAAAGTCCCAGTTTGCAGCTTTAAAGTTCTACCAGAAACACACAGAAATATTAACAATGTTGGACTTCTAAAAATGTGTCAGTGAAAATTTTGTACAAGATACCATCATGCTCCATCTCTGTTTGAAGCTTAATGTGGGTGTATTAGAATTCCCAGCTTTCAAGATGGGGATTTGGCAAGTGCAGCCCAGTGTGATTTGTTTTGTTTCTAATAAAGGAGATTGTTGTAAAGTAATTGAATAGAAATGTTGCCTTGTGCGGAGGCATTTTAATTGCATCGATGCAAAACTTCAGTTAATCTGGAGAATGAAACATGGTAATAAATTGTATTGCTTTACAGAAGCCTTCAAATGTTTTTATTGTGACAGGGAAATGAGGCAGGAAACAAGAGGCCTGAATGTCTAGTTTTACTGGTGGAGTACTTCTGTCTGCGTGCATCTGCGTGCACATGTTACGTATGTGAATACTGTCCCTTTTGTAAGTATGTAAGTATGAATGTATTATACAGCATTGTCATACAGCATTGTCTGTATCCAGCAAGTGTGTCAAAGCAGGCTCAAAGGCCCAGCCAACAGGGTTGCAGATGCCTATCTCCACTGATTTCATAATGCACCAACTTACTCAACTTCTTGGATGCATATTTTGATGTGGGTGGGAATGCGTATTGTTGGGCAAGTAGATGCACATGAGCCAGAGTTTGCCGGAGCCCCAAATCTATGAGTATTTGACAGAATGAATTGTGTCTTGTGTAGTGGGATTAAAATATTACAATTGCAGAAGATGTGGAATCTTAACAAGACTCTCACAGGACAAAACTCAGGGCTGGATTAGTTTTTGGGATCAACAGCACACCACACCTGTTCAGCAATCATATGGCAAATGTAGGGCAAGCTACCAATCAGGTGGTAGCTGTGAATAGGCTGTCACTTGCAAACAATAGATGCAACCCCTCAAATCTCTCTCCCCTCATTTGGACACTAGCTTGCTGTGTGATGACTGGAGGCTGTTGGCATGAGATTGGTCTAAAAGTTGGCTCATGTCATGTGCAATGATGCTGCTTTGTTCCTTCTCTAGGCAATGGTTTTCTGGAACAATTTTGCCCAGCGTTGGCAGAAGACTGATCAATTAGTTGCCATTGAAACATTCATTTCTATTAATAACAATGATTGTAGATCAGTTTCGCTTTTCAATATGCATAAAATAGTTAACATTCTCCTCTCTACAGGAGTTGCCAGATTTCAGCTTTAGACTTGAATTCAGCACAAGTATATGGAATGCCCACAGCCTGGTAGTTATTATCAGCGATTTGAGTAATTCTCAATGATTGCAGAAGTAGGCATATGGATAAGTGGAGAGACAGAGGGAGAGAGAGAGAGAGAAATTCTACTCGCCCCCACCCCTGCAATCCTAAATGCGTGGTTGTGGAGCACAATGGCATTCTTCAAAATAAACATTTGTTTTCATGTCAGTATGTATTGAGAAGCACCTGCTGTGGCTCCACAAAGCTGGGAATTAACAGAACCCAGGCCAGGAAAATATAGTCTTCCCTTTGCTTTGTGTTTTAAAGGACATTTGACAAAAGGCATGCAGATGGCTAAATATCCCACCACCATTCTAATTCTGGGGATAAGCAAATGGCTAAACCGGAGTACTTTTATCAGCATTTGGAAGAGTTTCATTTTTAAAAGATTATTACTCCCAGAACTTTTCAGCTGTACTGGTTAGCTGGCAGTATCTGAGAGTTGCAATAAAAAACAGGATCTTCCCTGAACTCAGGGTGAGACTAGACAGTGAAGTTATCCCAGGCTTCAGCAGTCTAAACATGGACAGAGATTTTCAGGAAAGGATCAGGTGGTTTGGGTACAGGAAGCCAAACTATACATCAAAGTGGCCCTATTCAGTCCATCCCTCCTTGCAAGTCTCCATCCACCCCCATCCTTTTCTGTCTCCGTCTCCTCAGAGAGGCAGGGAAGCCAGATTTTGTTTTTCATTTATTGGTAAGTGACATATCACTGCATTGACTTGGCATCAAAGTGAAACAGCACCAGATAGTTTGGAGAGAGGGAGGAAAGAACAGATAATGGACAGGAAGGAAGGAAGGAGGAAGGGAAGGAAGGAAGGAAGGAAGGAAGGAAGGAACCCCTCTCTACTTCCTCTTCTGTCTCCCTTCCCCATCCTCTTCTGTCCACCCCTCCATGAGGAATAGGGGAAAGCTGGATTTTATTTTATTTCCATTTATTGGTAAATGACATAACAGTGCATTGCCTTGCTACTGAGCTGAAACAGCTCTGGATTCTAGAGAGGAAAAAAAAAAAGATAGCCCTGCCTGTCCTTTCCTGTCACCCCTTCTGGGGGGAGCAATGGAAAACTAAATCTTTAAAATGCATTTATTGGCAATTGATGTATCACCTCACTGGCTTGTCACTCAACTGACATAGCACTGAATTGTTGGGGAAAGCATCGACTAGTGCCACTTAGTTCAATAACAGCAGTCACACATGCTGGAAACTGAACTAAACTGACAGGGCCCCCCAAAACTACAGATAAGTGTTAGGCTGGTTCACAATTGCCCGCTCATCATGTGATTGCCAGAAAAAGAGTGAAACAGACCATACCCGAAAACAGACCAAACTGTGGGACATATCTTTGTCTGATTGCACCCCCAGACGTTGGTCGGTTTGAACAATCCTCCCTGTTGCAACCTTAGGGGCAACAATCACAACACAAAAACAAACATTTTGTTGAAGGTTTTTGCTCTAACACTGGAGGCATTCAAGAGAAAATTGGACAACCATCTTTCAGATCTGCTTTGATTTGATTTCCTGCCTTGAGCACGGGGTCGGACTCAATGGCCTTATAGGACCCTTCCAACTCCATGATTCAATGATTCATTCAATGCAGAAACACACTAAAATGCAGTTTGGCTTACAGCTGGCAACTGCCTTTTTATTTCCTGTTTCTTCCAGGAGGAAAGTAACTATTTTTAAAATGAAGGAATGCAAAAACATATTAACACGCCTAATATCTTTCTATAATTTCACTGAGGTTTCTTTATCATTCTGGCACTCTCTTAGCAAACCTGCCCTTCCCCTCTCCCTGAACATTTCTGATCACCTCTTCTCTCTCCCTTTCCTATGCAGTGCCCAGCATAGCTAGGCTACTAGCTATAGTGACATTTAAAATAATGGAGGAGGAAGACCTCAGATTGTGTGACATTCTGAATATCTCTGGCTAGCAGAAGCTCTGTTTTGCAAAATACAAAGAACAGCACAGCTGGGGATTTTCCACACCTTTCAAAAATTTGAAAAGCTGGAAAGAGGCAACCTGGATAGTACCTAATAATAATAATGCAGGTGGTGGGGAAGATAATGTATGGGTTTACGCACCAGAAGAGTGTCTGTTCTGGACAAATTGACTGCTTCCCCATCGAGCCTCTGTGACAACGATGACTACTGGGAGCTGTAGCCCCCGCCCCACATAACATTGATGAGTTCTGGGGTTTGCCATGACAGGATGTACAGTCAAACACATCTGGAAAACACCAGGTTAGGAAAGGCCCAATGATAGGTATAGCTTCTAAATTTAGGTTTTGGTATTATAGAATGTACCCTATTAATATTTCACACAGCTGTGGTACTCTTCACATCTTCTTTATAGCAACATCTCCTGTCTATTTATGCTTGTGACATTGGCGCCTCAGGATGTGAACCGTATATCTCTAGAAGAGCAGGAAAGGAGGAAGCAATAAATGCTGCCCATCAATTAGCTGCTGTGTTCATGCTTGGTGAGCTTCTTGGAGGTCATCTGAAAGCTGTTCACTCAGAGCGATCTGTGACCATTGCTGTGATCAGTCCATATGGTCTGTTTCCCTTCCACTCTCTGCAAGGAAGTGAGAAAGGTTTGAGTTGTGTGTGTGGTGAATGAGAATGCTATTCTTTATGGAAATGCAGGTTGCATTGCAGAAGAAATGAACCCAGATTCATAAGATAGTTTACAAAGATTTCATTCATATCAGGAGGATTCAGCCTCCTCGCTCATTAGGTGCAGGGAACGTTGGCCTCTTTGAAAGGCTATGGACACACAAAGTTTGGCTGGCCTATTGATCCCCTTTCATTCTAAGGCAGGGGTGGGCAATTAATTTCTATAGGGGGGCCACATGAAAAATCTGAACTGTGTTCTGGGGCTGAACCAAGTTTACTTAAAAATAAAATGAAACAGTGATGTTATGATAGTTTTTATTTTAAACTTGTTAATCTTCACAAATACTAAAGAGTTTTTTTGCAGTATGTTAAAGATAAGCAACTGATCAACTTTAGACAAAAAGCTATAAATGTTTTTGATGTTTAACTTGTTCAGTGAGAGAAATCCAGTCTGTCTTGGGCTTGAACAAGTGCTTGAACACCGGACTGGAGCAACGACCGGCGGGCTGGACAGGAGCGGCTCACAGGCCGTATGTGGCCCTTGGGCCGCACTTTGCTCAGGTCTGTTCTAAAGTGTCAATACCTCTTATGAGTGTTTTCCTGTTCCAGCAGTAGAAGCATGTCAATCGTATTTGGACAAGGAAGGGGAACTACTGGATAGCTCAGTGGTTTAGGTTTCTGGCTGAAAAATCAGAGGTAAGGAGTTTGGTTCTCCTTTGTGCCTCCTTGACCCAAACCAGGGACTCACAACTCATAGATTTTTATCAGACGTTTCTTAAATCACAATACCCATTCAATGGGGTGAAAAAATTAAGGCAAAATAGCTGGACTAGATGATCCATAAGGTCCTTCCAGCTCTGCAGTTCGAAGATGATGATGATGTACTTCCAGGCTCGCACGCCTAAACTGACACACGTGGAGTTTCAATCTAGTTCCTGAAGAATTCCTCTGCAGTTCGAAGATGATGATGATGAACTTCCAGGCTCACACGCCTAAACTGACACACGGGGAGTTTCAATCTAGTTCCTGAAGAATCCTGGGGACGCCTCTCTTTCTAAACCCTGTTCCTTGGAAATCCCTCCTGCTCTCCTTCCCGGTTGAGAACTGAACTCCTAATAATCAGGAAGAAACATTTCACAGCCTGCCTCTGATCTTGGGTTGGTAGCTATTGACATGTCGTGGAGCCTAGGAATCACATTGTCAAAGTTTTTAATGTTTTCTGGAACCATTTATCTGTATTATGAGGACCTTACCCAGTTCTCCTACACTCTTCCCAGACATCCTACACTTTATTACTTTGTACTCACACACCACTACTTTACCTTTTGACAGTAATATGTTTCTCCGACATGTACGTTGCCGC